TTTTTCTTTTCTTTTTTTTTGTGCGGGGTGCCGACCACCCCAGACCGGTAGGTGCCGACCAAGCGACCGGTCGACGGGTCAGCAGCCGACCAGTCAAGGGTCGCCGACAGTCGGGGTGTGCAACACTGCTCCAAGAGTAAAAGCCTCCTGGAATCGTGCGCACCGTATGCTAGCTTTCTGAGTCTTATCACAGGATGTAGCTTGTTTGTGGACAGATGATGATGGCGTCAGATCCAAAGGAAGGATGTTCAACTGTTGTAAAATCTGGCCTACCGCCTGAAGCACTACTGCACAGTTCACAGGCACTACCCCCTCTTTAGGTACCCCAGGAGTGGGCAAAGTCGCCTGGAATCACACCCACCACATGCAAGCTTTCTGAGTCTGCACAGGCTTTTCACCCTGCTGTTTCGACAGTACACTGGACTAGAAGTTTTCATCTGAACCAGGGTAGACGCTTTTGAAGTCGAAAATTTTTGGTGTGATCCCAAGTTGATTCAGCACTTTTTCAGCTGGGAAATTTTCCATTGCATCTCTTTTGTTAGTCTAAATAAGTATACGTCTCTTCTGCTGCATCACCATTGATTTTGGAAATGTAGACGATCAGTATGCTCAAACCTCATCTGTCTCTGGGCAAGAATCTTTGTTTGTGGAAGAACCTTTGTTAAGTGGTCTCTGGGCAAGGATGATATCTTTACACCCCCATCTGTCATGTCGCTTGTTGCCCTGCCCTCCCTCTCTCCTCCTCTCCCTGCTCTACCCCTTCGTCCCCTTGCCGTCCTCCATGATTTCTTCACCCTCTCTACTTTGCGCCCATTTTTCTGTGTGCTTCTCTCCTCCATCCTCTTTTTCTTCTTATTCTGGCTCTACTCTCCCCTTGGTCCTCACTGCTCCTGGTCTTTTCTTTCATCTCCTCGTCACCTGTCCCACTTGCTCTTCTTCTCTTCCCTTCTCATCTCCGTCCTTCTAGACGTCAGGATTCTAGCCATGGTGATAACAGGGGTATGCTGATTGCAAGTGGTATCGGCGCTGCCATCGGTGCGCTATTTGTGTGCCTGGTCGCGGGATGGTGTTTGAGAGAGAAACTACGGCGAAAGCATTCAGATGACAACGATATTGAGAGCAGTCCTTTCACAAAAGAAGGTATACGATTTGCTGGTGACGTTTTTTCATGCCTGAAGGCCTCAAAGGCCTGATATGCCACAGCTTCCCGTGTTAGAGCTCACCTGGAAGTCTTCCTGTCCATATACAGATCATGTAATCTTCGCCAATCTGTTCAGGTTCATTCTTACGAGCATCTGTGGAAGTTCATAAGTTCCGAAGCATGGGGAAAGGAACGAAGGATGTGGGAATGGCACCTGCCGGAATGGAACGTTGCCCTCCGATAAGTCGTCCCACCTTTTCATTTTTTTGAAATTTGTCTGTCGCCCTGTGGGTCATTTATTTGCTCAGCGTCTACTCTCTCTCTCTCTCTCTCTCTCTCTCTCTCTCTCTCTCTCTCTCTCTCTCTCTCTCTCTCTCTCTCTCTCTCTCTCTCTCTCTCT